TGTGTAGCCTGAGGCAACCTTTCCCCCTGCCCTCCGCCTGGAAGTGGAAGCAGCCATTCCAGGAAGGGCCAGCCCATCCAGGACAGTGCTAGGCCCTGAGGGGTGTGGAGACAGAGTGAGTCCTGGAAACAGTCCTGTCCTTACGAACTTAGTTCATTTGATCTCGAAGCAGTCGGCCCAACACATACATTCAAGGGTTTCTGTAATTCCTACAAAGTGGTGAGTGGTAGAGAGACAACGGATGATTGGAATATGAAGAAAGGTCCTTTTAAAAATTATTATTAATTTTTAATTAATTTCAGAGAGGAAGGGAGAGGGAGAGATAGAAGCATCAATGATGAGGGAGAACCATTGATCAGCTGCCTCCTGCACGCCCCCTACTGGGGATCGAGCCTGAAACCCGGGCATGTGCCCTTGAATGGAATCAAACCCAGGACCATTCAGTCCGCAGGCCGACACTCTGTCCACTGAGCCAGACTGGCTAGGGCGAAAATCGTTTTCTTTAATAGAGATCACTTGAGTAGCTACTGTGTATAAAGCCGTAGGCTGGTGCCACAGGGTCTCAGACATGCGTCAGACCCAGCCCCTCGTTTCTCAGAGCCTGGACTCTGGCGGGGGGGACACTGCAGGGCAGGGAGGGGTATGTGGGAGTTGTCCCTCCAGATTCGGAGCACGTTGCTTACACTGCAGTAAGACCTTCTAGACCCTCCTCACATTCAGACTCAGTCAAAAGACACGTCTGGATTAACAACTTTGAGAGGCAGTCAGGGATGGGGCTTCCTCTTCTGCGCCAGCATCCCTCTCCCCTCTGTGGGCCTCACCCACCTTGGTCCCTGTCTGACCAGCCGCCTTCTCGCCTGCAGATCATCGGGCAAGTGTACGCAGATCCTGATTGCCTGCCCCGCACACTGGACTACGGCCTCAACGTGAAGCTTTTCTGGGAGAAGTTTGTCCCCACAGACTGCCCCCCGGCCTTCTTCCCCCTGGCCACCATCTGCTGCAAACTGGAGCCGGAGAGCAGGTTGGTAGCTGCCCCTTTGCCCCCGCCCCCAGGGTCCTGGGAGGCTTGCCCCGCCTTTGGCTGTCCCCTTGCCCTTCCCAGGCACAGGGGTGGCGGAAGGCTTGAGCTCAAGGTTGTGACTGTCGGCCACTGAAGGCACCAGACAACTGACATACAGGTGGGGGTGGAGGGGATGAGGGCATGGTTGCAAGTGACCTGGGAATGAAACAGAGACACAGCCATTAAAAGAAATTTTAACGGGACTCACCCAAACCTACACCTTTCTAACAGAATAAGTGTCTTCGTGTCTCCATAACCCCCTGTCCATGTTCACACACACCACACACACATTGTTTATAGATTTATGATCTAAAATAGAGAAACATTTTTTATTTTACCCTGTATTTTCCTTGTTGCTACCCAGGCTTTCTGTTTAGCATTTTTGTTAACTCCCTGAAATTCTATTCTAGGAAACTCGCTGAACATATGATATACAGTACACGATGTAGATGTTCAGGTTTTTCCAGTTTCTCTTTACAGTAGTTATTATTACTACACTGAGCATCTTCATGCATTTACCTATTTTCCTTCTTGAAAGAAATCTTTTTTTAAAGCATATCTTTCACAGATAAAGCAATGTTTATTTGTGTGTGTATATATATATTTTTTTAATTTTTATTGCATTTTTTACAGAGTGGAAGAGAGGGATAGAGAGTTAGAAACATCAATGAGAGAGAAACTTTGATCAGCTGCCTCTTGCACACCCCCTACTGGGGATGTGTCCACAGCCAAGGTACATGCCCTTGACCGGAATCGAACCTGGGACCCTTCAGTCCACAAGCCGGCGCTCCAACTACTGAGTCAAACCAGTTAGGGCAGAAATAAATCTTTTAAAAATTTCCTTCGTTTCCTCAAGTTACAACTTTCATTATTACCAAAGTTACCCTGGGACTTTTAAAGTTCGTGCGTTAGAGACCTAGAATCTTTGTGCTTTTTTTTCTGCTATCAAAAATCATGTTTCTTTTAAAAGCAGATTCGCACACTATCAAAATACCTAGCACGGGAATTATCTATCTTCTATAATCTCCAATGAGTTAGCGCCTTGACCAGTCAGGGTACATGCCTGGGTTGTGGGCTCGATCCCCAGTGTGGGGTGTGCAGGAGGCAGCTAATCAATGATTCCCTCATCACTGATGTTTCTCTCTCTCACTCCCTCTCCCTTCCTCTCTGGAATCAATAAAAATATTTTTTTAAATCAAAAGAAAAAATTTAAAAGACACTTTCTCCAATCCCAATTTTATTGATTGCATTTTCTCCAAGTCCTGAGAGGAGCTTTATTTCCTCCTGGACTTTCTGTTTCTCCGCTATCCCTTAGAGCCAGCCCAGCCTTCTCACAGTGTTCTCTCTAACCTTCACGGCATCCTGTTTCCCTTGGAGGCCCAAGGTTAACGGGCTTGCCCAAGGTCAGACAATTAGAAAGTGGTTAAGCCGCAGCCCTGGGTGCCTTCCACACCAGCCCACGGCCCTACCCATGTTTCGCCTGCCTCCAACCCCCTTGTCTTTCTAGGCCGGCATTCTCCAAACTGGAGGACTCCTTTGAGGCCCTGTCCCTGTACCTGGGCGAGCTGGGCATCCCGCTGCCCGCCGAGCTGGAGGAGCTGGACCACACTGTGAGCATGCAGTACGGCCTGACCCGGGACTCGCCCCCCTAGCCCTGGCCCAGACCCCTGCTGCGGGCAGGGCCATGCCAGCTTCCTGTGGATCGGCAGCTTGTTTAGAAGCAGAACAAGCCATCCCTACTACCTCCCCAGGAGGCGAGCCAGGCGCGGCGCCAGGGAGATGCATCTCCTCGCGTGTTGGGGCCTGGTGACTGTCTGAACACCCAGCACTCGCCTGAAAGCTGTGAAGAAGAAGAAAAAAAACAGGCTGGTCCCTGGGCCAGGAGGAATCTGTTACTCGTGGCCTCTCGGGAATTCCCTGGGATTCCAAGCTCTTGCTTACACTAATTGGCGTGTTCTGGCCCTGCCAGGCAGGATTCCGGGGTTAACCAGCCCCTGGGCTCCGAGGTCTGGGGTCCAGCTGAGGACTGGAGCCCTTCAAGCGGCCGGTTGGCCGGTCAGTCGGTCGGTCGGTCATGTGGATGAGAGCAAGACTGGGGGCCAGGCTGCAACCCAAGGATGTGAACTGACAGTGGTGCTACACTCCTTTCACCCCATGCCCTGCCCTCCCCTGGGCGAGGGCGAGGGAACAGGCTTGGAAGGGGCCCTTCGTTTGTGGTGGAACTGGCCTGGAGTGGGAAGGGCTGGTTTCTGTTCAGCTGCCAGGCCACATCAACACAAGGGGGAGCTTTCGCCTCCTGTTCTCACTACACTGTGCATGAGCATCTCTCTGCCTGCAGCAGGAAGCCGCCCACCTTGCAGGAAGAGGCTGGGGGCAGGAAAGAAAGAGGCGCTGCTCTCTGGAAAACCTGTATCCTGGCTGCTGTCCCTCGGAGCCTGAGACATGTTGCCTGGAGCCGGCTGGATTCTGGAGGATAGTGCGGCCTGTCCCGAGCCCTGGGCATGAGGCTGGGGGAGTGGGCATCTCAGCAGCCTCTCGGCCTTACGGCAGCTACTGTCCACCCTTCACCAGGCCTGGGTCCAGGCGCCAACTTGGGCAAGAAAAGGAGGCGGCAGAGTCCCAGAGCTCAGTCCCTGAGCCGGCCACCTGTCCCGGGCTTCCCGTGCTGGCAAGCCCACCTCACTGGCTCCTGGCTGCAGCCTCCTGAGCCGCAGCCGCGGGTGCTGCCAAGCCCCGGGGGAAGCCTCTACCCTTGGCTCCCAGAACTCCAGGGACTCAACACAAACAGACTGTCTCCTCCTCAGTGTCCGTGAGCGAGCTTGCGCCGTATTTAACACATTGGGAATGGGTCGGGTCGTCGCTGCGATGTGTGGTGGTTGTGTCGGGGTGGGAGGGAGGAGGGGGTGGGAGCGATTCCAGAGAGTGGTTGCTGTTCATACTATCCTGTTCTCTGTGTTGGGTGACATGTGAAATACTGCTCATAGACCCGGTGAGTCGCGGGGTGAGATGTCCCCTCTGGCCACGTCACACAGGCGGTACTGCTGTGTGGCGTTTGCAAGCCTGTGGGGCAGAGCCCGGGGCCCCCAGCAGCAGCAGGGTGGGCGCTGTGCGGCTGGCTGGGCCTCAGCTGTCCCCTGCCGTCGTGGGAGCGGTGGCCCACATGGAGCCGTTGAGCAGACCAAATAAATTAAGCCGTTAACATAACTGACGACACAGAGTAAAATGCGACTTGGGGTCTGGCTCGGGGGACACATGTCGGGGGTCCGCTGGCCTGTTGGCCAGGAAGTGCACGGCCTCCCCTGTTCCCTTCCGGAGGAAATGCTACTGGCCTTTCCGGGTCCAGGTCACGTGACTCCCCACAGCGGGGAGTCCTCACGCTCCCTAATTGTCATCCCCTCCGCTAGTGTAACACCAGCCTGCTCCAGAGAACAGGCTCATCCCACCTGAGGCAGCCCAGTCCTTAAGCAGGTCTGAGGACTACCAGCCGAGACGCTCCTTTGGGGCCTTACACTCCTGCCTCTGCGTTCATTGCTAAAGCCTGGCTGTCCTGGAGTCCTCTCCGCAGGCCTCGTGCCCTTCGCCGATAGAACTGTAGTGTCTGGCCATGGGCAGAGATCACCGGGGTGTTCCAGAGGCTGAGAAACTATTGCTGCAAGTCCAGCAAACACTCCCGTTGGTGGCTGTCTCTGGAACCCTAGGAGTCATCCCCTCAGGGACTTTCCTCAGCTCAGAGCTGTCCTGGCAGCCCAAGGACTCCTCCCCCTCTGCACGCCCATCCCGCCTGTGGCTACTTCAGCCCCAGCCAAGGGCTGCCCGGCAGGGACGGGCCCCGGGCCACACCGGTGTTGACTAGGTAACCAACAGTTTCTCAACTCACGGGAGGAATGTTCCCAACACCCCACAGACTTGGTAATGTGCAGTCCTTTATAAAAAAAAAAAAAAAAATTTTATTTATACAAGTAAAATGCAGAGCCATTTCCTGCCCTTGATATGCAGGTGTCAGAATGAGGTATATAAAACACGTACACAGAGAAACGCTTTCATAGAAAAGTAGAAACCAGTGATGTTCTCTTCGGCATCACTGAACCCCAAAGGACCCCCTGAGGCCTAGGTTTTTCCCCCAGCAAACCACCTGCTAGAGAGAACGGGCCCCACGAACCGCCCCCTCTCTCCACGTGGGGCAGCGGACGGGTCTTGGGGAAGGAAGCTCTGTGGATAGGTGGCATTGCTAAGGCCTCCAAATGCGACATCAGGACCAGGAGGCCATGCCGCGCCGCTGGCACAGTGTAGCACAGTGGGTAGGGAAATGTCCTCTCCTCTTGGCCACGCATGCCGGTCACTTTATGACTTTGGGTGCCCCTTTCCCCCTCTGGGCCTGAGGAACCCTAGGGTCTCTTCCAATGGTTTTATGATTGTTTTAAAGTTAGGGGGCGCTACCTCTCTCCACCGCCTCCCTCCTCCCCCCGCTGGGAAGGGCTGGCCTGGAGGCCACAGAGCCACCTGCAAACTCAGGCCGCTGCAGGGGCAAGCCCTGAATCACCTTCTTATCTGGCCTCTGAGCGCAGTCTCCAGGCTGACCTCCCAGAGGCAGCTCACAAGGCCCCGCAGGGAACTCCCACGGGTAAGCTGTTGTCATAACCCCACCAAGGGAAGAAAGAGGTCGCTGCCCACCTTGGAGAGAGACTCTGGGGCACCCCAGGCCCACCTGGGGTCCTCAGGCAGCCTTTACCCTCTTCCTGAGCAAAATGTCAGTCAATTCTTCCTTTTTTCTTAAAGATGTAACGCTTCAGGAATCTGCTTGTCATTCCTGTGCAGGGGCCGTGCTCATCTTCTCCGTATCGTTCCCATTTTAGTAGACGTTCTGCGAGGTGAGCACCTTCCTCTCAAAACAGGAAGTGCCTGGGCCTGGCCGGGCCCACTGCTGTCGAGGCGTGTCACCGCCAGCAAGCTGGAGCCCACCGAGCACCCCCTGGCTGGCCCCAATTCTCAGCCCGCTCTGCTGACTTTCGTACAAACTCATTTCCGGTTCTCACAAGGTCAGCGGGCGCGCGTTCCTTCTCAAACCGCTGGACCTGAACTACGAATAACAGCGTGCGTGTGCCACTCAAGCCCACGGAGGACACACGGAAAGGTGGAGACGGAGGCCACGCTAGATCATAAAGCACAGAGGAGCCCCGGGAGCTCCCCGTCCGTCCCTGATTCAGCTCCAGGACTCGGGCAATGTGGCAAGCCCTTGTCGGCGGCGCTGCTGTGGCAGCGGCCACGGTCTCCATCCACGGACAGACCCCTGCTCCGGGGGTTGGAGACAGCACTGGTAGGTCCCTCCCCAATTTCGCCCCCAGCCAACAGGGCAGCCTGCGTCTGTCTTAGGGTTCACCAAAAACCAAAAGGAGAAAAAAAAAAAAGAAAGTGGGGGGAGGGTTTTAACCACAACAGAAAGTGTAGATCTTCCCGGCTGTAAGAGGGTAGGCCATCCTGCACCTGCACCAGTGTCCGCACGGGCTCCTGCCCACGGCGGGGGGGGGGCTCAGGCCCCGGGAGTGCCTGCCTGGCCCATCAGAGGGGCATCACCCTCCTGAAGATCGACCGGCGTCTGGCTGGGGTGGACCACAACTGTCGTCTCATCCACGAGGTCACAGGTGGCGTTGGTGAAGGCGGACAAGGGCAGGGTGATGGGCTGCATCTCCCGCTCATGCACCTTCTGGTCATACTGCTCTTTCAGGCGCTTCGCCCTGGCGAGGAAAGGGCGACACGTTCAGGCTGTGCCTCTCGCATGGCTTTGCCCAGGCAGGGCAGGGGCTAGCTGCAGTCACAGCAACCCAGTGGCTGATGTACTAGCTTTCTCTCTTTTATATATATATATATTTTTATTTTTTTTTTAATTGACTTCAGAGAGGAAAGGAGAGGGTAGAAAGAAATTAAAAAATGAACGATGAGAGAAAATCACATCAATCGGCTGCCTCCTGCACGACCCTTACTGAGGATCGAGCCGCCAACCTGGGCATGTGCCCTGACCTGGAATCGAGCTTAGTGTCTGCAGGCTGACACTCTATCCACTGAGCCAAACCCGCTAGGGCCAGTCTTCCTTACTAAGAAAGCTTGCAATAAATGTTGGCTGCTGCTGTAATTGTTTAACCTGATCGGTGTTCTGTTTTACATTTAAAACAGTATGATACTCCTGGGGTGGGTAGGTATGGTGTGTGTGGAGGAAGGATATATCCCCATTTCACAGTCAAGAAACCAAGGCGCAGAGTAGCAAAATCTATACGCAACAGCTCTTTTCAGAACAGTCTTCTCTCTGATTCTAGGGAGAGCTTGCCTTTAGCCCAAGTGTGGTTTCCTGTCCCATAGTCTGTACTGTACTCGGTGTACTTCTGCAGAGGAAAGGGCGGAGGGGGTCTTGTGGCTAGTAACCAGGAGTCTGGTGACTCGTGGCTTGCCCTGAGTTTACCAAGCCTTGCCCTGAGTTTACCGTGTCTTGCCCTGAGTTTACCGGAAGGTAAATTCTAGGCCTCAGGGCAATCATGTTGACAGTCTGGAGTGAACCTACAAGAAAGGCCTGGCCCCCTCACTGTCATGAGAGCCGAGCTCAAAATGAAGAACATTTAGCCCTGGCCGGATTGGCTCAGTGGATAAAGCATCAGCCTGGGGGACTGAAGGGCCGTGGGTTCGATTCCAGTGCCGTGGGAAAATGTTCAGCCAGCTCGCGTGGAGGCCTGGACACTGTCACAACATTCGAGGAGGGAGTCCACTGCTGTCCAGTGGCTGAGGAAGGAGGGCGACGCACGGCCAACATGGTTTGATTCTGACTGCAAATGGCAGGTCAGGGCCGCCGCATCGTTTCACCTGACTTACTTGCCCTCACCTGTGCCTCTGCTTCCTGAATCACAGAAAACCAGAGAAGGAAGAGGGCTTTTCTTTCACAAAAAAGAAGACAAACAGTTTCTGACCACAGAGCTAAGCAGTCACATGCCTTGGTCACATTTCTTAGCAACAGCACTGCTCTGGGGCAGGAAATAGAAGCAACTTTCCCACAGTCACACAGAGTTAGTGGCAGTTCTAAGAATTGGCCTCCCTTCCGGGTCCAGTTTGGCTCAGTGGATAGAGCGTCGGCCTGCAGACTGAAAGGTCCCGGGTTCGATGCCAGTCAAGGGGTGGGCACATCCCTAGTAGGGGGTGTGCAAGAGGCAGCTGGTCGATGATTCTCTCTCATCGATGTTTCTAACTCTCTTCCTCTCTGTGAAAAATCAATAAAAAATAAATAAAAAGAGTTGGCCTCCCTAACTGCTAGTTGTGTGATCTCAGGCAAGGTGCATCTCCTCTCTCTTCCCAATTTCCTAATCTGTAAACGGGGGATAACAACAGCATTTGCCTCGTAAAGGTGATGGTGAGAATGGAGGTAAAGCCTGCAGACCGCTTGAAGCAATGTCTGGCACCTGGTAACTGTTTCCTAAGCTTGCTGTTGTTGTCATTACAAACATTTCCTTTTTTCATCTGTGAATGAGGAGACGGGCTGTGTATCACCTCTGAGGACACCTGAGATTTATTTACTGCTGGGCGATCCACTGGGGCTATGGCCGTGGCTTCCGGGAAATTCGGGCTGCCATGTCACTTCCCTTACAGAAAGCCCTATCACACCCTGGAGAGAAACAGTACCCTCGAGGCTGAGGTCCCTTGATTTTGCCCAAGAATGGCAAATAATTTCCCCACGGGCAGACAGTCCTGTCAGAAGGAATGCACCTCGGGCTTATCATCATGCACCTGTCACTGACATTGAGAGCCTTTCCACATGGTAGCTCAGCGGTATTTCGTGGAAGAGCCACACTCAAGGGGCCGAAAAGCCACATGTGACTCACGAGCCTCGGTTTGCCGACCACTGGTCTAGGGCCTCACTTTTTTGGGGGCGTAAGAATGCCATAAAGGAATCTGATTCGACTTTGTGTACCTCTCTCCCTTCCTCTGAGGGACGTCCAGAAGAGAAGCCACTCACCTCTTGTAGGTGTATCCAAAGATGATGCCAACTCCGATGGCAATGATGATCACTATCATGCCCATGCCCAGCACATTGCCTGCCAAGGACAGGACACAAGGCCCCATTAGCCATGCCCCCGACAATTAGCAAATATTCCTTCATGAATCCCATATAAGGACGGGGGTGGAGCAGTCATACCCAGGATCCCCAAGTCCTTTTTCTCCTTGGAGTTCCCCTGAACCCGCTGGACCATTCCAACCACGGGCTGCACGGTCGCTGCCTGGCTCCGGACGGACAGGGAATTGGCAGGAGCAAACAGCTGCACCGCTTCTCCGCTTGGCACTTCAAACGCCTCCTCCGTCTCTGTCACGGAGGTTGGCAGGTCTGGAGGGGAAGTGGAAAACAACTCTCATCAGAGAGTGGTCTGAGTGAATGCCACAGCCGGACCTTCCTTAGAGTGTGTTGGGGGAAATGAGGGATCCAGCTCAGAATGACCCCCACACACTGAAATCAAACTCCCCTTTGGGTAACACCATCGCTGGGACAAGGCCAACGTGAGGGGAAGGCCCTAAGGAAGGGCCTCTCCTGCCTATCACGTCTTCATCTATCCAAATCCTCGCTATCTTCCAACACCCAGCTCCATTGCCATCCTCTCCATCAAGCTTCACTCATGACTCCCCTGGGCAGCTTACATTTACGGTGCCCACGCTGTGTGTGCCAATCCCCGGGTTACATCTTTACAAGCAGCCATTGGACCCTAGAAGATGGTCTTGCTGCCTTGGGAGCAACAAGCCTGCGCCCTGGAGTCTTAAGAAACTGGAATTCACCCCTGACCGGTTTGGCTCAGTGGATAGAGCCACGGCCTGCGGACTGAAGGGTCCCAGGTTCGATTCTGGTCAAGGACATGTACCTTGGTTGCCGGCACATTCCCAGTGGGGGGTGTGCAGGAGGCAGTTGATCGATATTTCTCTCTCATTGATGTTTCTCTCTGTCCCTCTCCCTTCCTCTCTGTGGGAAATCAATAAAACATATTAAAAAAAAAAGGGGGGGGGGGGGAGAAAAAGAAACTGGGATTTAATCTGAACGCTGCCATTCATGGCCTCCCTAAGTCACTTCTCTGAGTCTTAGATCCCCCAAATACTTTATTCGGGGGGAGGAGGGGGGGAATTGTGAGCAGAAGAAAACACACAGCAGGAAACCCACAAACGTTCAGCAAAGGCTGAACGATCGCTAAGGCCGTGGGACGCGGTCCCTGGGAGCTCTCCCTCGGGGAACTCCGGGCCACGGGGCTGGGCCTCGCCCCCTTCCGTTGTTTACAGGGCGCTCCCGGAAGCTGAGCTCACTCGGCAGCCAATGGGCTTTGCGCCTCGCGGCCTGGAGACAGGCCTGACCAATCAGAGGGCGCGGGGCCGGCGGCACCGGCCGCCCCTCCGCGGTCCGGGCGCGGGGTCCCGGGCGGGTACCTGGGCAGCCCGGGTCCTCGCAGCGCCGCTTCTCGGGGGCGCCGGCCTCGCCGCTGACGTAGCACCAGGGCCCGCGCGGGTCCCGGTCCGGGTTGCGGCAGTAGCTGTGGTTGCCGGCGCCTGAGGGGCGAGAGAGGAGGCGCCATGGGCCGGGGGCGGGGGCGGGACGGAGGCCGCCGCCCTCCCGCCCGCCGCCCGCCCGGGGCGGACACTCACCCGCCGCGGGGGCCGAGGCCAGGCGGCTGTGCGCCTCCAGCCAGTTGAGGCAGCGGAGGCCCGGCGCCGGGGACGACTGGTCCGCCCGGTACCGGCGGCCGTTGTCCGACCAGCAGCCTGTGAGGAGAGGAGCCCCCTCAGACACGGACCGGCGAGCCGGGGTCTCCCGCCCCTGGACCCGGGGGAAACCGCGCCGGGGCTGGACTGAGCTCGCTTTTTTCTACCCCCCTTTTTTGTTTGTTTGTTTGTGGGGGTTTTTGTTAATTTTTTTTTTTTTTTAAGCCGGAAAGCATTACTAGACACGTGCCAGGGTTCCTGTTCTGGAACCCGCGGCCCCGTCTGAGGAGGAGGCCTGGGGGGTTGGGGTTCGGAGGGGCAGCCGAGCCTGAAGAAAATGCGTCCCCGTGTTGTCATCCCGCGTTACATAAACTCCGGAGTCCCCTTCCCCGCAGCCATGGCCACCCTTCCCCCCAGGGACCCTCCCTCCTGAGGGGACGCGGCCGGAGCCTGGGCTCAGCCGGGGCGGCCGCAGGGGGAGCCTCGTACGCCGCCTGGAGGGTAACTCCGAGCTCCCACTCCCCTCAGCCCGAGAGGCCGGGGAGGGAGGGCTGTGCTCTGGCCGGCACCATCCCTTGCAAAGCCTCTGAAAAGAACAGGACTTGGGGGGGGGGGGTAGGGGGGAGAAGACTCCCCCAGTTCCATCCCCTCCTGAGCCACAGGCAAGGGAAAGGAAAGAGAAAGTAGCTCCTTGGCCTTTGTTCTTAATGGCCAAGATGGAGCTGCAAAGCCCCCTGGCAAGGAAAGGAAGGAGGGGAGAGAGAGGGGGGAGCTTTCGTGGGACACACCGGCTAAAAGCATCCTTTCCTGACATCTGGGAGGCCTGGGAAATAGGGAGCCGCTCCCCTCCCCGCCTCGCCGAGTTGCTGCAGAAAGGAGAGGTTGTCACCTTACCTCCAGAGGCATAGGCTTCTGCTAGGAGCATGTTGCTGATGAGGAGGGTCTGCACCCAGGCCACCAACATCCTCACCGCCTTCATCTTGCAGGTGATTTGACCAGCTGGGGTCCCCTCGGTGGCAGTCCCAGCCCTGCAGCCAGACCTGCCCTTGTTATGCTCTTGTGGTAAACAGCCTCTCTTTAGAACTGGGAGCTTCCCAGCTAGCTTGCTGCAGGGAGGTGTTGTTTTTGCGCTGAGAGGCGCCACAGGCGCCCCCTGGCTCCTCTAACATGCAAGATCACTAACCCTGAGCCAAAAGAGAAAGCGGCTCAGCCCAGCGAAGAGAGGCAGAGAAAGTCAGCTGGCTTGTGGTTTGCAGTGAGTCCGCGTGAGATCTGCAGCGGCTGCATCCGCAGGGCTTTTTGCCTCTCCTGTTTCCATTTGTGCAGAAAGGGTAGTTCCGTCAGGAGTCATTATTGGAGGGAGGGAGGTCTGGAATGATAATAGTCTCCCAGGCAGAACAACTTAGGGAGGACATGCTAGCTTCAACCAAGAGGGACTCAGAACCACAGAGATGGCACAAATAACAGCATCCAGGTAGAAGTAACTCTTGATACCCCTTCATATATATACCGTGTTTCCCCGAAAATAAGACATCCTCTGAAAATAAGACCTAGCGCATGGAAAGATAAGGCATCCCCTGAAAATAAGACCTAGCGCAACTTTGGGAGGAAAAAAATTAATATAAGACACTGTCTTATTTTCGGGGAAATGGTATATATGGATAAAATTGATTTCAGAGAGGAGGAGAGAAACATCAGTAATGAGAGAGAATCATTGATCAGCTGCCTCCTGTGCACCCCTTACTGGGGATCAATCCCACAACCCAGGCATGTGCCCTGACCGGAAATTGAAACTGGGACTTCTCGGTCCATGGGACAATGGTCAATCCACTGAGCCACACCATCCGAACTATACTCCTTGAAAAAGGGCCTTTATGGGTTACACATGTTTATGAACACTGACTTGTTTAAAAAAGTGTATCTTTGTCAGGTTCAGATTAGTCATATTCCTTGGCTTATATTTGGGTTTTGGGGTGTCATATATAGTAGGAATACAGAAGGGATCTTTATAGTTGAAACTAAAGGAAGAGGCTGGGGAAGGAGGGCTGTGCTCTGGCCACATGCAAAGCTTCTAAAAAGAACAAGACTTAGGGAATAGGGGAGATGAACCCTCAGTTCTATCCACTCATGAGCCACAGGCAAGGGAAGGGAAAGAGTGGTTACTGGCCTTTGTTCTTTTTTTAAAAAAAATCCAATATAATAAAAAGCTAATATGCAAATTGTCCCATTGGGAGTTTGACTGCTTGCTATGATGTGCACTGACTACCAGGGGGCAGCATGGAATGAAGGAATGCCCCAGGAAGCAACCGGAAGGCCCCAATCAGTCCTGGCCAGGTCTAGGGACCCCACCTGTGCACTAATTTCATGCACCAGGCCTGGGGGGAGGGGTATTTATTTAATAGAGGAAGGTACAGAATGAGGGGAAGCGAAGCATCAATGATGAGAGGAAATCATTGATTGACTGTCTCCTGCACACTCCTTACTGGGGATCATGCCCTCAATCTGGGCATGTGCCCTTGACCAGAATTGAACCCAGGACCCTTTAATCCACAGGCCAACGCTCTGTCCACTGAGCCAAACCAGCTAGGGCCTTGCCTTTGTTCTTAATGGCCAAGACGGAGCTGCATAGCATCTCCATGTTATGCAAATATTGAGGCATGTTCGCAGCTATTCTTACTAGTCTGTCCTTCCAGTCCTGAATTCATATAAGGAAGTTGAATATTTTCTCTTCCCCTTTCCCACCCTGTGGGCAATCCATTTGCAGTGATTTATATCCATCCTTAAACCTCACCATATCCATATGACTTAGGCCTTTTGGAGTTAGAACAGCGGTCCCCAAAGTGAGGCACATGCCCCCCAGGGGAGCAGTTGGATTTTTAAGGGGGGCAATTTGAGTTACTGAATTTTTTTGCATTTCCTATGGTTCTAGGGGCCTCGTGTATAGTATATAAATATATATTGTGACACATTGATGCATTTCAGTTCTCTATTATATGTTTTGAAACTTTATTTGCTATTTTTAAAATATCACTTCAGCCGAGACCGGTTTGGCTCAATGGATAGAGCGTCGGCTTGGGGACTGAAGGGTCCCGGGTTCGATTCCGGTCAAGGGCATGTACCTCGGTTGCGGGCATATCCCCAGTAGGGGGTGTGCAGGAGGCAGCTGATCGATGACACTCTCTCATCGATCTTTCTAACTCTGTATCTCTCTCCCTTCTCTCTGTACAAAATCAATAAAATATATTTTAAAATATATATATATATATATATATATATATATATATATATATATACAATATATATATCACTTCAGCTGAGACCGGTTTGGCTCAGTGGATAGAGTGTCGGCCTGCGGACTGAAAGGTCCCGGGTTCGATTCCGGTCAGGGGCATGTACCTTGGTTGCAGGCACATCCCCAGTGCGGGGGATGTAAGAGGCAGCTGATCGATGATTCTCTCTCATCGATGTTTCTAACTCTCTGTCCCTCTCAATTCCTCTCTGTGTAAAATCAATAAAAAATATTTTAAAAAATATATCACTTCATATTATTATCTTTTAAAAACAATTTCTTGTTGATTTCTTCCTCAGTAGTTCATCTGTCCTTTCATTCTTTTATTTTTCTCTTGCATAGACACCAAGCTTCTTTGGAAGCTTGTTAAGCAGTGGAGCTGATTAGGGGACAAGCAATGGATTTGGCCTCACTGGTTTTGAATGTGGCATAAGGCAAGATGCGCGTGTAGAAACGCCCAGCAAATAGTTCGATATGGGACTGATGGTGGACCAACTGGACAGAAAACCAAAGTAAGTGCAGTGTGGTTAAGGAGGTCCTAGAATAAAGGCAGGCTGGCAAGAAGGCATAAAAGAGCTTCGGGTCTAGCCTTAGCATTCGTGAATATAATGAGTGTGTGAACTCCGCAAAGCCTGATGCGGGCAGGGTGGGAAATGGGTTTGAAAGTGAAGGTGAGAAACCAGATCTCAGCTCCACACTTTGTGGCTTAACCAGAGCATTTGCAATAAACACCGAGCTGTCAGGAAAAGGGGACAGGAAAGGAAAGTCCTGGGTTGGGAGCTGGGGCGATTAACCTTGGCCAGATGCTAGGCCTAGTCTAGGCGGTCACATGGCATGAGGGGCTCTGTGGGTTAGCTTTAGGGAATGCAATGCTTTTGCCCTAAGCTTTGCTCTATCTCCAAAATGTAAAACAAACAAACAACAAAAACAAACAAACAAACAAACAAAACACAACGCTCACCTGTGTATTTTAGGTATGCCACGCCCTGATTGTGGTGTTTGCTGTGAATTACTTCTACCATACACTATTGTAGTTAATGTGTATGTATGTAAGCAATATGTAAATCAGATGTTTATCTATTAAATATATGCTGTAGAGGGAAAAACAAGGTAGCTGGGAAAATCCCTCTAGCCCATCTTTAAAAATCATGGTGTTTCATTCTACTGTTACAGTTTATGCTGTCAGTCAGCCAGCAGTTCCTCAGCCTTTCTGTACTGTCTACCTTCTGTGTCAGGGACTGCTTTTCCTTTTTCCATCATCCCAGCTCTCTGCTGGCCATTTTTCCCATTCTGCACTGTTGTGTGGATTACTCTCTTCAAAATGTTCTTCACCCATCTTTTCCCATGGCTTGTTTCATCCCATTTCCTCTTAAGAGATGTACTTTACCACTACCAGGTTTGGCTCAGGGAATAGAGTATCAGTCCGCAGGCTGAAGGGTCCCGGGTTCAAGTCCATTCAAGAGCGTGTATCTTTGGTTGCAGGCTCAATCCCTGGCCCTGGTCAGGATGCATGCGGGAGGCAACCAAGCAATGTGTCTCTCTCACATTGATGTTTCTCCCTGTGTGTCTCCTCCCTCTTCTTCCATTCTCTCTTAAAAAAAGCAATGGAAAAATATCCTCAGGTGAGGATTATCAAAAAGAGAATGACAGATACCTTAAAGAATCTGTATGTCAGGAGGTACTAATGAATTTTATAATATACTTCAGTCTCATAGTCAAATGGAGAGAGAAGAAAAAAGAATTCAAAACGAGAACATGGAGTGATTGTGGCTGAAAGAAAATGTAAGGACGAGAGAAATCAGCATCACTGTGAGGCCCAGCCCTGAGTTCTGGTCACTGCCCTTCTGGCCCTCTGTAATTACCAGATAACGGAAGTGAGCAGTGCTACGGGTGGTGTCATAAATGGACTCAGATTGGCCCCAGCATGGCCAGACCCGCGGTTCAATAATAGAAGATTAAGTACCAGCTTCAGATACTTAAGTGTGTTCTCTGAGTTCCTGTTGCTATTTTCTACCTGGAGATTTCTTCCACGTGTACTTTGATGGCTCAGTTGGAAGTCCGCCATCACTGCTAAGTGTTCTTGAGTTTTATGTGGTATGGCAGCAGCATCCTTATTATCCCGACTTTAGAAACAAGAAATCCCTGCCTTATTGCAGACAGACTGCTGCCGCCCAGGCAATGGTGACATATTCCTACTTTCTAGGATCTTGTCCTCTCCCACACTTGAAAGGCTTAACCTTTTATCACCTTCAAGAGTCACCAGGCCTGTGAGAAAGCCTCTCGTTCCTAGAGTGGCTCTGCCATCAGCCGATAGCACGCTTTTGTTCTGAGTTTCTAACCTCTTGGACACAGCACAAAAACCTCTCCAATAAACATGAAATTGTTAATGTATCTAGGGCATTTGGGAGAGTATCTCACACATGTTAAGAACCTCTGCTATTATCTATAATAATCTCAAGTTATTAATATTATTGTTTCTGCCTCCATCTAGGATCAGAAGCTAGAGCCTAAATAAGCCTCTACTTTTTTTTCTTTCTTGTTATTCTGGTTAAGCAAACCCAAATTATCTGAAAATCAGCTTGATAATATTTGGTGTCTTCTCAATTTTGTGAGCATTGTCGGCTCAAAGAACCTTAAAAAGGTCAAAGTGTTGTCACTTTAGTATTTTTACTTTCTAGAGCTTTCACATCCCTTCTCTGGATTCCTGAGGGATCTAGTCCTGACTTAACAGTAGGATGAATAATCCAGCAATCTCATCATAGAATGATATACACTTTGTCCAGCTGCCAGTGTTTATCAAACAGCTCAACACGGGGCAGTAATGAACATC